TAAGCTCGACGTCATTAAATCAAAATCTAGGACAGGTCCCGCCTGTATAAATCAATGGGAACCGAATCCCGTATCACAAGGAGCTCTCTCGTACACGACACCCAACAACTCCCTTTTACGAGGAATATACAATATGTGCTGGTTTTGTAGGTCTCAGCAGAACGCACTGTTTTGTTTTAAGGGACCCAGAATGGAATCGCTTGTGTCTGTGGAGTACGTGATTGGAGCTTAATTATTAGCAGTCGCCCCCCCCCCCCTCTCCACTCCCCACCACCACCATCTTACACACCATGCACACAAACCCAAAACAACAGGAGCGTTTTGAAAATAAGACTTAAGTCCAATAGTGCCACCTTCAGTGTTAAATCACACTATAATTATAAACATATAAAATGTCGAAAAAATACATTACCAATAGTGTTTTTTAATTTAATCACAATTGAACATAAAAACACTGGCGATTGAAAGAGCAGTGAATCTATATCCAAAAAAAAAGGCGAAAATCTCTCAGATAAAGAGAGTTGTTCTGTTTAAAATCGTGAGTGTCTACTTTTTAACCGCAGACATGATGAATAGGAAAACTATAAATAGTTTTTGCTTTCTGTCAAAGTTTACAACAGTCATGACAACGCGTGGATTTTATGTTCGGATCGATTTCTAATTCTCATTTAGACGCAATAAACGAATGAGTTCGTTCCTCAAAATATTCTCTTCCATAGACTTTTCTAATTTTCTTTTGAAATCGTCTCGTCTTGGTCCCATCCCGTTGCCAGCGCCCTCTTTTGCCGTTTCATCTCTACTCGGAATCTCGGGCTGTTTCACTGCAGCTGCAATACCGAAGTCGTTCGTTCAACGATTGAAATCATAAAAATTATTTTTAATAATTAAGATTATAAGATCAAATATTAAAAAAAGGTAATTGTGAAAAAAACATGATAATATAAATCATAGGTCAAATAACTATCAGTTCTATGCTAATAATTTTGTTCACTAGACGAGCTGTGTCAATTTTGCATACTGAGTTATATTTGTGGGTTTACCTTCGCGTATGGGGCCAAGAATTTGGTCTACTGCTGACGTCATGACCTGCAAGTCTCGTTTAAGTCTCGTGGCGTGCAACACGGCCAATGACACGTGCTTTACCAGAACAAAATCCATCACAGCATCACCTGTCAGAAAATATCATTGTTGAAAAGCTGCTGTTTCAAATAATTTGATTCTATCTAATTAGCATTACTGATTCCATTCAATTTATTTCAAGACAACTGTGGTGTCTGATATACCAATATAGTACGGCAACTATCAAGATATCATCATTCTTTAGATTATTTTGTGCAAGAATAAAATAGTGAAGAAAACTTAAGCTTCATTCTTTATTTACTGCGAATATTCATATGTCAACTGAGCGAAGCCAATACCTATATTCTCAGCAGTAATATCCACGATCTTCTTCAACTGTTCCTGTCGTGTCTGGAGACACGTCACATCACTCAGCAGTTTGGTTACCAGTGACTGAGCGTTAAACTGATCCTGGTGGAAACAGATTTCATAGTGAGAAAGATAAAAGAAGTAATATTGAAGCTTGATAAGAATGGCATGAAGAGGTTAAACTGAGCTTGATGTAAAGAAGAATGTCAACAAGGGGTGTACGTTGATCAGGGGCGGATTCAGAGATATTTTCTGAGTCTTCCAAATTATCTTTTTTGATCAAACCTCCATTTTTGACCGTCTTCCGACAGAAAAAAATAGACATCCGTCAATGTAAACTTGAAAATGTGACCGTCTTCCGGAAGAATCAGAAGACGGCCTAAATCCGCCCCTGTTGATTGTGCTCTTTACATAAATACTGCACGTGATGACTGCAGTAAAATCATCTTGCAATTGTACTTTGTTTTGAAAATATCTGATGAAATGGCATGCGCCTATTATTTTACTTTACTTACTCCTTCGTCTTCAGTAATAATATTCACGTATGAGGAAAAACTTATGCATTCACTTGGTTTCTTCTTAAACCCTAAAGAAGGACAAAATGTCAAATGTTTAAATGTATATTTACGTCATTGGTGTCATCATTGGCCTACAAATGTAGCCACAGTAAAGAGCCTGATACACGGGACAATGATTATACAAACATGCCACCTAACCTTTTCTAAATATCATTGCTTTGAATTTGTACAAGATATAAAATTATGCATATTCGTCTATAACCTGACGATATCACTTTTGTTATGGTTTATATAAATAAAGTTCTTTTGGTTACTGTCGTATATAAACATTTCTACTGGGTCAAATGACAATACATATGTCTGTACCTCTCTCAATGATTCTGTCCAATGTTTGACACACCTGTCCCAATAATGACACTAGCCAGTAGCCGGTATATCTGAAGTCGGCTTCCAACTCATAGATGTGGTCTTGCAGTTCTCCATCTACAAAGCGGGTAAATACGAAAATCTTTCCAGAGAGATTTACCTTACAAATGTGACGTACAATTTTGTTTTTTGTCGGCTCTTTGCTTGAATGACACATGCTCATTTTATTTTTCAATTAACAATAAAATGAAATTGCTCTTTACCATTGAGAGTGGGAGAGTTGTGATTTCTCGGCGCCAGCTGCTCACGATTAATTCACACTTACAAAATTTCAAATTAAACGATAAACTTGAACATCCGATAATCCACTGAACTATTTTTTTCAACCTTTACTTTAATATCTTTGAACTAAAGCACTAAAGAAATAATCCAATAATCACAAGAAGTGTCTTCGGCCAGTTTTCCTGCTGCGCATTTTCTTGCGGCTACGGAATCTTTCAGATTAAAGGCCTGACGCTTTAGATCTGCCATCATCGTAGCCATAGCAGGACTTGTGAGGGCTGGAAAAGAATGGTTCAGTAAAATTAATTTAAAGTACGGTATAATAACCAAAGTGTGAAAAATACTTTAATAGTCTTAAGTATTTAAAAAACTACCTTTGATAATTTTTTCTGGGAGTTGAAATGTAAAATAATACATTCGATGCAACTGAACCTAGTAAGATGGAAAATAAATTGCAAACATCTTCAAAAGATGTCATTATAAAGTATAAAAGAGTTTACAAATTAAAGACGTTATCTAAGGGGCATATGACGTCATATTGTCACCATGACGTCAAATGACGCTTTCATTGCATCACGTGGCTGCTGGGAATTCTTGATATGCCTCGATGTTATTATGCTATTGGTAATCGTTAATCTTCAATTATAATTTTATTTTTCAAAATAAAACTTACGTTCATTGTTTACGTTTGTGTTCCTTTTACGAATAGCTTTACGTCTTGTGGTAGAACTAACGGGCATTTCTCCACTTTCTGTTCTCAACGGCTGTGTGGACTTCGACCTGGTCGTGAACTGGCGCTACAAAAGTGAATAAATAAGAACATTTTTTACATAAGGGACTGACCTGAATAATCAAGGCAAACCAAACAGTCTTTTTTTTACCTTAAAATAATTAACTGTTCAATGTACACTTAGCAAAGCTTATCTCAGTGAAAAAATGATTTTGAAACTCACGAGACTCGCTAGCAGTTCACGCGTGGTATCATCCGACAAATCTGAAGACTGGATCTCGCTTTCTCCTGTAAAATAATAAAGAAAGAAAGAAAAGAAAAAAAACAAGTATTTCATCACATGTATTTGAAGATTCGAGAAAACCTGATATTTTGTAAAAAGGTTTTGCTTGATGAAAACAGGAAATTCTCAGATTTTGTAAAATGTATTGTTTGATGATAACAATAAATATTAAGTTTTTGACATTTAACAAACCTTCTACTTACGTTGACGTAGTTGACGTGCCAGCTTGTATACTGCTCTGGTGATGTTTTGTTCGACCCAAAATATTCTACAAACGTCCATCACGATAATGGCAACGTTCTGTATTAAATCTTCATCTGTTAAATCTTCAAAAGACGAATTTGTTGAAGAATAAAGGGACAATTCGAATACATGAATAAACAAAGCCACTACTGTTTTATCGCTGTTTAAGTGACATTTGAATATGATAAGATGTGAAGTAATATGAAATGGTTGCTGTCATCATTTCAGCAATGCTTTTTTATTGCGTGAAAGACATCCTACTTTGCTCTCTAACTGCAGTTTATTTACTGGGTATTTACAAATCCCCTGAGAGCAGCGGTCTCATTCAAAACAAAAATAATGTTAGAAATGCTGAAAAGTGGTCATGGTCTACCAGTCACGTACATAGTCAGAAAGAAGTATTTCGTACCAGTAGGAAAGAGGAAATATGTGCTCATATTTTCGGGGACATGCCTCCTGAAAACTGGTTATTAAATGATCGATTTGTCGATGCTCACCTGCGGTACTTGTTATATTGAAGACAGCGTTCTTAAACATGCTCACTTTTCCGTGCATACAGGACAGATCGTCCAGTAGAGACGCTGATAAACCCCGGGCAACGTCGCCACTCTGAAACAAGAGACAGTGACAAGTGACGCTACTGAAAACACGGACTCAGATTGGTTGAATATCCTTTGGTAAAGAAATTGGTAAAAAAAGTCAGAATCAGGTGTGATTCATCATCAAGATTTGTCACGCTAACTCTAATTATCTGATCAATCTGTGCAACTGATCTCTCTAGGACACACACAACACTTCCATTTTCATAAACATCATAATTTCAATCATCAGTGATAAAACATAAAATTATGCCATACTTTTTCTGCTAATGCTTCGCCTGTAGCCGTTGGACAAGGGCATGGACTGAGACTGACAAAGATTTGAGTGTTGTAATTTCAGAATTTTTATGAGTGGACACTAATATGATACAAAGTTTAAAGCACTTGAATAATTACAATATATTTTCAGCAGTTGACCCTTGTTTTTCTATGTTACGTACCTGTGGTTGTTAGATATGAGTGCTGGATGATTTAGATGATCAGCTGAATTTTCCTGTTGATATTCATTTAAATTACATCTTGCACGACACAATACTTACATCGTCTGCTTCGAGGTCATAATTTTTGACAGCTTGGTCAAATTGTGAACAACGTCTCCAGCCCGACCCGACTCCTTGAAAGAGAATTTAGTGTTCATTTCACTTCTAATGAATCAGTCTGTTTCGGATCC